GAGGCTGGTCACGCAAAAGCTTTTTGCTCCTTTTCAAGTATGAATTTGGAGCTAAGCAGAAGTGGGGCCCACGTGTTGAGAAGGGACACCTGGCAGGAAGAGGATTTAAAACAGAGGCTGGTCACGCAAAAGCTTTTTGCTCCTTTTCAAGTATGAATTTGGAGCTAAGCAGAAGTGGGGCCCACGTGATTAGCAGAGATTTGTTATTGACTATGGGTGGTGCTGAAGCCACAACAAAGGAGTCTTCGTTTAAAGGTAAGGTTTCAGAAGTCAATTATTTAAAGGAAAAATTCCAGATTAGTACCCTGTACTTTGGGTCTAGTGCCACTTAGGTACTCAAACTTTAAAATGCGACAATTTAGTACCCGAGCTTTCAAAATGTGCCAATCTAGTACCTGCCATTAACCAGCCCGTTAACCAGCCGTTAAGTGCCATTTGAAAAGACAAAAATACCCTTCGAGTGTCATCTAATTCTCTTTATCAACTATCCAAACTTTGACAAAAAATGAACAGTCCCAAATCCTTGCCTCTTCTGTTAAAAAAAGTTGGGGTCACCAGAATGCCCACTGAGACATAACCCCAACTTTCTTGAATAGAAGAGGCAAGGATTTGAGACTGTTCATTTTTATCAACATGTAAATGGTTGATAAAGAAATTTTCTTCTTCCTAGTTTACTTGGATTTGAGAATTAGAAGTACGCTTCTGTATGTATTTACATTGGTCCCTTCTTGAGTTCCATTGACTGCTTTCAGGTAGCATGGATTGACACCTCGTAGGTGGTGACCAAACTGCTTTTTCTCCATTCTCAGGTGCATTGCTGGGAATGGACTTTCCCAACACATCATAATGTACCAATCTTTTATCTTTATCTGATACAAGTTGACCAAGCAAGGATTATTTATAGATTCTGCAACTGTGCTTGTCCAATCATTATTTCCACTTTATCTTAGAACTTTGGTTACTTGTTTTAGGCTTTGAAGCAACTTTATAGTATTATTTTTCCAACTATAGAACTCTGTCAGAGTTTTGACTATTCTACATGTTTCCAATGGTGCTGTTCTTTTCTCTTTGTTTATGAGTTCCTTCTTAAATCCTTTACAGCTTCAATGACCGGATACGAGATGCAGTACTTGGGGGATCTCCATTTGGTCATCCACTTCAACAGGGTTTTGTGACTGGCTTATCTTTGCAGGTAATTAATATTTCTGTATTATGATCTTAAAAATAAATTGCCTTAGTTTTTATCTGCGACAAGTGCATATGATTCCATTTTGTGTTAGTTTTCACTTTTCTGTAATCCATACCTATATGGAATAAGAATAAAGAATTTGAAAATATTTTCAATATCAAGGAGAATATCAATGAAGGACAAGTTTTTACCTTCCAAAATCATGTGATGTCTTCGTTTATTTTCAAAATCATTACAAGCTTCTCTTGGAGAGGTGCTAGATGCAACCTCTCTGAATAAAAATAGTCAAAGCATTATAGAATACATATTACAACTAAGCCCAATAGAATTGAACCCTGTTGACCCCTTGCTTAGCTAAACAATCAACCATTACATTGGCCTCTTCCCCCATCTATTTTTATTCTTTCTTTTATGTGAAATGGTAACTTTCATTAAACTTAAAAGGAAAATTAATACAGCTGTCACCTTCAGGGGCGAGGTGACCCTTCAAAATAAAAAACAACTTACAAACAAGCCCAGAATAAGGGACCAAGTGCCCTCCTAGTCTATTTAAAATGTGCTTTAAGCTCCCTTGCTAGGTTCATTATATCCGTTACAGTCTATCTAAGGAACCAAGTGCCCAATACTTCTGCTCTAAGTGAGTCACCCAACCCTATTGGGCTAGAGAAAAAAGGCTAGAACTCTTCCTTCCACATCTCTACAAACATCCCCAATTTCAGAGGAGGCAGGATTACCTACAAAGTTCCCATCAAATTTCAATTTCACACTATATTGTAAAGGAGGTGGCCAATCCTTGAGTGGTAATAGATGAACAGGAAGAACCCGCTATTTGTGCTCCAATCTCTAATCAAATCAGCTACTTAGAAGTCCTTGAAAAGATCCAAAGTTTTCAGCCAATAAAACCTTGATGGTGATCTCTTCTATGAGTTCATGTACAGTTCTTTCTTGCCCTTCAGAAATCCTGTTATTTCTCTCTTCCCATATTGCCTAAATAATTGCTGCCCTCGTTGTTCTCCACATTGCCCTTCCCCTTTTCTTTGGTTGTCGGAAAAAAAAAAAAACTAGATCAAAAAGATATGCCACACTTGTGGGAGGATTCCACTTGCAACCAAAGAGAGAGAACCAATCCCAAATTTGAGTAACAAAAGGACAAGAGATTAATAGATGATTTACCATCTCACCACTCTTCAAGCAAAGGCTACAAACATGTGGGGATAAACATTGGCTTGGTCTTTTTCTTTGAAGCACATCCAAGGTGTTAATTTTTTGGAGAACCACTTCCCAACAAAAGGCCCTCACTTTTGGAGGTATAGGAGCACACCACATTTCTTTGACAAGAAAAGAGGTAACCAAGTTAGAAGATTGCAACAAAGCATTGAAAAATGAAGAGTAAGAGAAACAACTTGAGGAGAACTCTGACCAAATTCTACTATCAAGACAAGACTGATCAAGAAACATTGGGTTTTGAAGAGAAAAAAATTCATCTATGAAACCTACTTCTAAATCCCTTAAACTTCTCCTTAAATCTAGATCCCATGAATCCGCAGAGACACGAAAACAGGATATGACTTTAAATTTGTTTAAAGAAAGAGAATAGAGGATCTTAAGTCTATCCTTAAGAGTATGGTCCCCAATCCAAGTGTCCTCCCAAAAGAGAACCTTATTACCCAAGCAAGCATCATACTTGATGAAAGGAAAAAAAGTGGGTAGGACACCAACGGTGTCTTTCCACGGGAAGGAATGAGAAGCTCTAGGGTCGAGACCAACATTCCATCCTTTAGCTTCCATTCCATATATACTTGGCTACACCATTTACCAAAATGGAGTAGTGGCAAGTAGATAAACAATCCTTGATCCAGCTACACCATCTTTCTCCAAACCCTCTATTTCTCAAAACTTCAAGCAAAATGCCCCCGTCCACCAAATCATAAGCCTTTTCCAAGTCAAGTTTGAAAATCAGCCCCTTTTCTCCTTGTCTTTTCTATAATCCACACGTTCATTGGCAACAAGGATCTGATCGGTAACTTTCTCCTAGACACAAAAGCTCCTTGGTTTGGAGAAATTAGGGATAGTAGTACTTTTTTGATACTTAAGGCTAAGACCTTAGAGATGACCTTATACATACTACCAATCAGGCTAATGGGTCTAAAGGTAGCATTTCTTGAGTTCATATTATCCCTATATCAGCATATTACTGACACAAGTTCCTCCAGCCACCCCACTACCACTTTAGAGTCACCTTCAATAATTAAGTTCTCCATGCTCAGCCTGTTTGCAGTCTGAACTCCTTGTGTAGCACCTAGCAATTCAACCCTTATAGAGTCTCTTGTACCCATTGGTTCCGGGAACAAAGTTTTTACATCCTTGTCTCTTATAACTCCAACTCTAGATGGCCCTGGATTACTTTGACTACTCCCATCTAAATTCAGCTTCATGTATCCTTCCAAAGGAGGTGTCCACACCAAGTTTACCCTAGTCTTCTTTGAAGAACTTCTTGCCACCATATAACAATCATCAAAGGAGATTTGGCAAAAGAACTCCATAATTCTTAACCAGTGTATTACCCTGCCATCACACTTTTCTTGACCTCTTGTCCACTTATATCCTTTTCTTGGAAGACTCTTGTGTTTTTTTGCTAAATGGTCTAATCACTGCTGCTTTTGTACACCTCCACATTATTCTTTCCCTTCTCATTGACCAGGTAAATGTAGATGGATCAAATAGCAAACTTCTGTTGTCAAGTTTCACTTGCACCCAAACAAAGAGGAAAACCAATCCAAAATATTTGTAGCAAATGGACAGGAGATTAGTAAGTGGTAGCAATTTTAACAATTTGATTCACACATGATGCACTAGTTTGGGGACATACAAAGAAAGTTTTTTTTTTTTTTCTTTTGCAAACAATCCAAGGTGTTTATTTTCCCATAGAACACTTCCCAGCAAAAGGCCTTAATTTTAGGAGGGATCGGCCTGCAGTGCACCAAACTTCCTTGAAGGGAAAGACCTGAAGGTTGGAAGGCTGAGAAAGGGACTTAAAAAAGGAGGCACAAGAAAAACGACATTTGGGTGAGGAATGGGGCTCAAGACAAACTCTAGTCAGAAGATGCAAAAGCTTTGTCACTGAAACAAGCTCTTTATTCCTCAATCATCTATGAAAATTAAAATCCCAATTATGACCCAATGGAAGTAATGGAAGGATTAGGAATTTTTAAATAGCCTCATTTTTATTATATGCTCCATAATATTACTTTAATAAAATTCCACAATCTACACCACTGTTCACATTTTTGTTAATGTGAAATTTTAATAGTAATTACATGATTCAGTTTTGCCCTTGAAGCTTTATGTTCATATTGATGCATAAGTCATAAAGTGCATCCTAAGAGTACTTTTATTCATTTTTATAGGTGTTGTAAGCCTAGTGTTTTTAGATGGTTGTATTGACTTGAGGCCAGAAAGTGTTTTGGAATGGTAGAATACTGATATTGTTTCATTCTATTGCCAATGGGCATATTTATACAATAATCTGCTGCAATAAATAGAAAGAAAAGAAAATAGAAAGAAGAAGAAATAGAAAGAAGAGAAAATAGAAAGTACAAAAACAGAAAGAAAGAAATAGAAAGAAAACTTTCTAAATCAATCATTCCACAATCTTAGGAATATATACAGTTCTATTTTCAGATCTGAACTAGTAACCCCACGTTTTCCAACAGAAAGTATAAGCTTTATTTAGTAAGGATGCTTCATACCTTAGAGTCTTAGACTACTATGCCACTATGCCAGAAAATTGCTGGAGAGTCATGATAAGATGTGCATTCAAAAGAACGTCAGAGACTTAAAGGGTCCTCCAAGAGGGTTCTAGCTTCTAGAATGAATATCTTTTTATTTGTATAAAATGTAATTATTTGTTATTCTGCATGGTGCTGTTGGTGGGGAATTTGCCTCAGGTGAATCTCCCAACCTCCTGCACTTCTTCTAATCCTCTATAATAGAATTTTCTACATTGCTGAATGGTGATGAGAAAAGGAAAAATAGATTAGGTAGTGATGGTAAGACCAGATCATGGCTTTACTTGCTACTATAATCATGAAAACCATTTTGAATGGGATTCTCTTTAAAACAAAATTTGCAAGAAGAGGCATAACATTTTCAATTCTTGAGTTTCAAATATTCCTGAAACTTAATTGCCCATGTTTGTGGTTTTTATGCTTGTTCCACATGATGATTGGAAGTAGAGTATTTGGTTGTTGGTTACTAACTTCTTCTCTCACAGCCTAACTCACACGACCATGGTGATAAAACTTCCATGGACCACATGCTTGCAGTGTCACAGGACTACATCCAGGTGCGTCTTTTTATTACACAGATGTTGTGCATAGCCTGCACATTTTGCATAATACTATAATAGATGTGAACTTTAACCAAAGCTATCTGGTGGTTAGCAACAGTGTAGTTGAGGTGGCTAAGCATTGCTTAGGTGTTCCTGCCTGGCAAGGCAAGTTGAGGCCTAGGTGAAAAAGTAAATATTATATGTATATATAAATCATTTAAATAGAAAGGTTGTTACAAGATCTGATGATATGATATCTATAATTGTTAAGGTGCATAAGCAAGTCTATGCTACAGTGGAGCACCTAGTTGCCTAGGCAATAGAATTTTATAAAATAGAAAAAAATAAATTCTAGGTTAGTTTTCTAGTTTTATATACCAATAAGCATGCATCTAAATTGAAAAAAAAAATTCACAACCTTAATTTTTTTGATAAGTAATAAGAAGCATTTTATTAAAGATCAAATAAGAACTATCAAAGGATACAGCACAAAAAATCCATAGAGGTGCAAGATGCAACCTCAAAAACAAATCAAGATTACGATTGAGCCCAAAATAAATGATCCCTATTCACCCCTTACTTAGCTAGAAGATCTGCCAGCCCATTAGCCAATCTCCTCTCCCACTGAACTCTCACTATTATGTTGGAACCAGCCATTTGAATCTTTTCATTGTCCCCTAAAGGACAAAGCTACAGTTCAGCTCCTTCAACGGTTCAACCACCAACTACTAGTTTGGGATCACCTTCAATCTTTTTTGGTAAATAAGAATCACCTTCAATTAGCATACTCCCAAAGTTTAGCTCTTTATCAATCTGTGCTCCCTATAGAGCTACTTAAACCTCTGGCCTAACCACATCCCCCACTCCAATTGGACCAGAAAATAAGGCAACAATTTGATCCTCTGCATTTCTAAAAACTCCTCTAATACCGGAAGGCCCAGGATTACTGAGGCTGCTGCCATCAAAGTTTAGCTTGATAAAGCCTTATTCAGGGGGTTTGCAAGCTACTATGGGCTTGTCCTCAAAGAAAGAAGATTTTGCAACCAATTCCTAGTTTCTCCAAAGGTCAACAAAGGAGAATTGTGAGAAAAGATCCAAAGATTTAGCCCAATTGATAACCTTCTTCAAAATGCAAACCTAAACAGTAGTCCCTTTCTTTATCATTAAAATCCTAGCATTTCTTCCCTCTTGAACCTTCCATACCAAAGCATCCCTAGCACATCTCCACAAAACTCTCCCTATTCTTTTAGGCCACCTGAAGGTAGTCGGGTTGAAGGGTCCACCAATTTGCAGAGGCACTGTCCACTTCCATCCAAAAAGACCAAAAATCTTTTCCCAAAGTCCAAAAAGAGCAGGAGATTAGTAGGTGGTAACAACTTTCTTCATTAGCTTTGCCAAGGAAAAACTAGTTTGGTGAGATACTAAGATTAGGTCTTCTCTCTTGCAGGTTATTCAATGTGTTTAATTTTCCAAGAGAGCCTAGCAAAGGGCTCCCACTTTAGGGGAAATAGGTTTGAACCAAATTTCCTTGCAAAAGAAAGGTTGAGGATTAGGGATAGAGCACAACTAAGAGAAAAAAGAAGCTTAGGAAAACAGACCCCAGAGGGTTAGGAGTGCATAGATGGGCATCGGGTTTAGAGTGATCCAAATAAACAGGGTCAAGAGTTTTGAGAAATGAAGCAACCAGGTCAAGATTTAAAATATTCAAATCTCTTCTAAAACTATATTCCAACTGAAACCAGAAGAATGGGAAAGTGAAACAAACCTCTGAATGGGTTCATTTTTAACGAGGGACAGGGAATATAGGATGGGAAAAAGGTCCTTGAGAGTGGAAATACCACTGCAAACGTCCTCCCAAAACAGAACCCTATCTCCTGTACACACATCATACCTGATAACAATGTTTTGAAAATCGTAATCGTATTGTAAATCATAGAGAAAGTTGAATCAAATTGAATTGTGAATCGTATCGTAAGTTGTATGATTATTTCTATTTTATACAAACTTGTCAAAAAATTAAATATTGATACATATATATATAGGAAAGTGATTTTACCCTATTTTTGATCTATATCTACCATATATGTACTTAAAACAATAGAATTTACCACTTATACAATAGAAGTCTAAGATGATATAATCAAGTTTGACTTGAAAATCAAACAAATATACATACAATGTCCCTTTAACTTACATATGATAGAAAATAAACTCAATTTCTAGTCTTGAATAATGTAAATAAGTCGTTTTCTAGTAAGGGCTAAAAAAGTCTCCCATGGCAAAACAAAACATAAAAAAAAAAAAAAAAAAAAACAAAACAAAGTAGAGAACTAGTTCTTAATTGAATTTATATGAACCATAGTGAATCATAAAAATTGTAAGATTTATGAATCGAATCATAGGATTTAAAAAAAAAATCGTAAGATTTTTGCAGAAAAGGATTCAGACATAAGATTTGAATTGAAACCCTTGGGATTCTTGATTCAAATCATGAATCGTAAGATTTTGACAACATTGCCTGATAAGGATTAGGAATTAGGGAAGAGTACCATTAATAGCCTTCTTCTGAGAGTTTAAAGTGGCCTACCCAGAAATACCAGTATCCCGACCATTACCTGCACACCGGTGAATATTTCCTACTACATTATGTGAAAGTGTGTTAGAAATCCCCCATACTCTCAGGCCCTTCCTAAGGGCCATCTCCATAGCCATTTACCCAATAAAGCTACATTCTTCTTCCCTAAATTGCTTAAGCCCAAACCCCCTTGCTCCATACTTCTACACTCTTACTCCCATCTCACCAAGTGGTCCATTCTTCCTTCACCAGGCTCCCATAGTCCTATTAGAAATCCCCCATTATCTTCTCTATTTTCACACCTCCCTTTATTGCATCTTAAAGATGGAGAAATTAAACCAGAAGATTTGCTAAGGTAGGCTTTATCAGAGTAATTTGACTCCCAAGAGACATAATTTCTCTTCCAAGCTGACAATTTCTTAGCACAATTTTCAATAATTGGACTCCAAAAGCTTCCTTCCTGTGGGTTATCTCCTAAGGGCATACCTAGATACTTCAACGACCAACTAGCAATAGGATACCCTAAGACCTCCGCTACCCCGACCAGCTCCTCCTCCCCCAAATTCAACCCCACCATGCAACTTGTTTTCCTCAAAATTAATCTTCAATTTAGAGATAAGTTTAAACAATTGTATCATTAGCAAACTGCAAGTGTGTTAGAACTATACTCTCCCTCCCTACCCTCTAACCTCTAAAGAAATCCAAACTATCAGATCTCAGTATAAATCTACTGAACACCTCAACTACCAAGGTAAATAAGAAAGGAGAGAGGGGGTCCCCTTGCCTCAATCCTTTGGTGGCTAGAAAGAATTCTCTAATCACTCAATTAACTATAACCTAACAATGACAAGTTTTCAAACACCCTTCAATCCAACCACACTGCCTCTCTCTAAACCCATAGTTTCTCAACAAATCCAACAGAAAATACCAATCATACATGTCAGCAAAAGATGTCTAACTCTAAAGAGAATGAGGGTTCAAGGCACAGTTCATTGTGACACCGGAGACTGTTATCTCTGGTGACAAATCTCAGGTAGGAGCAAGACAGCTGCTGAGCAGAAAGTGGTGGACTGGCTTAAAGGCTTCGTAGATGGTCTACTTTATGCAGAAAAAACACAAGGTTGGGAAAATGAAATGACTTATAAAGGAAAGAGGTTCACAGTAGCAAACAAAAGAAATAGAAATGGAGGATTCTTAGTTTTAACAGAGTTCTTTGGGAAGGGGAGAAAACAAACAATATGTATACCAGAGGGACAAGCTAAACAGGGGTGGAGGGTGATTGCTGGAGCACTTGAGGAATTCAACCAGGGAAAATGGGAGTTACTGGACAACGAACAGCAAGATAGAAGTAAAGAACTTAACTCAGGGGTCATAGGTGGGGGAAAATTTGGGAAAACAAACCAGCTTAATATCTCGTTCTTTCCCATTTCAATACTCTCTACTGAAACCAATTCGAAGGTGTAGGTTTTCAAGACTGCTATTCAGTCTTGACCACTAAGAGATTTCAGGTTCGATGAGAAGAGAAAGTGAAGAAGAAGTAGAAGAAAGAGTGGTGAAAGAGCAGTAGAACACAGATTTTGAGGAGAAGAACAGAATGT